TTTCAACACAACGGTGGGGTCACTCAGGTTGTCAGCTGACCTATATGGGTCAGATATTTGCCCAGAGCATTACGAAAAGGATTTCCAACAGGCTTCTGCAGACTTCTGTCGATAGCTGCCACCTTCTCTTCTTCCATACTGGAGATCAAATGGCCTGCTCCAAAGAATAAACAACAAGGAACTCTGCAGTGGAATAAACCAAGCAATAACCTACTGCTCAACAAATATGTAAAATTGTATGGAGAATTTCATCATGAGCCGACATCAGTTAGAGAACCACTGGAAAACCTGGGAGTACTGAACAGCTGTTTCGTCCTAGCTTGAGACTCTTCATTAGTGTGCACCCGCCACAAAAGGTTCGAACGCAGCACCTTGTGGTTACAGGGCTAGCGAGCTCTTAGACCATTCAGTGGCAACTGGGACCCGATCCAGTGGTCCTTGAATTCTAACTTGTGCCAATTCACGACATAGCGTGACCATTTTGCGATGTCTTGTTCGATGATTTACTGCCTTAACTTCAACCTGCTCCACCCCACTGGTCACGGCTTCCCACTAGAACCACAGGTCACTGCCTGAACAGGGTCAGTCAATAGTGAGCATCAGATTAATTTTCAAGTATTGGTTTTGGGGGGATTTTGTTTGATTGCATGGAGGATTTCACCATGAGCTGACATCATTTAAAGAAGCACTGGAAAACCTATGTCGTGAATTGGCACAAGTTAGAATTCAAGGACCACTGGATCGGGTCCCAGTTGCCACTGAATGGTCTAAGAGCTCGCTAGCCCTGTAACCACAAGGTGCTGCGTTCGAACCTCCTGTGGCGGGTGCGTACTGATGAAGAGTCTCGAGCTAGGACGAAACAGCTGTTCAGTACTCCCAGGTTTTCCAGTGGTTCTCTAACTGATGTCGGCTCATGATGAAACCCTTCATAAAATCAATCAAACAAAATCCCAACAAAACCGATACTTGAAAATATGTAAAAGTGAATGGAGATGGATTATGCACACCTTGAGGATGATCGCCGTGCATAGGCGAATGATAGAACTTAGCATAAAACTGGCTACTGACAAACCTGACATTAACTACATCTCAGTTTAAATACGGACGAAACCTCTGAAAGGGCATTCTAAAAATATTTCCGTCTTCATCAATCAATAAATTTCGCTCTTGTAACTCATCTGACTACAAACATCTAAGATGTCAAGTGTGAGGCGTATCTGGCGAAGAAAGCATCTTATTATTATTGTTTCCTTTAATTCCTACAGGAACATAGGGCTTCAGCCGCGCGACTCCATTGCAGTCTGTTCTCTGCTAGAGTCTTTACCTGGCTCCAAGTCTGCCCACACGTTTTCATCTCCTCTTCACATGACCTCCTCCAAGTCACCCCACCTTCGCACTGACGACCAACTCGCCGCTTCCCTTTCAGGTTCCACTCGAGCGATGGCTTGTCTAGTGATGTCACTTGATGGATTGTTTCCTCGGAGTATGGCCAGTCAATCCATCTCCATTTCCTTCTGCATATTTGTTTCACAATCGGTTCCTGGTTGGTTCGCTCCCAGAGATCCCAGAGAAGGCATCTTGACAGGAGAATAACACAAGAATACACTGCGTAGCCTTAGGAAAGAAAGTTACTAAGACGACCCTTCTCTCTTGTTTTTTTTTTACTTTAAATGTTCGTTGAGGTGTGGCGTGTGTGACTGACAAGGTTTATGAGTAGTATATAGATACAGACATAAATATGTATATCATCTGCAAGAATATCGAATAATGAAGAGATAGACTTAATGGCGAAGAGGAGAAAGACAAGACTGCACAATACAGAGGATATGTGAGAATTTTGATTTTAATATGTGTTATGACCAAAACTACAACCTAAGTACACTATGAGCGAATACTAACTTTTAATGCTCCGGCAAATCTGTCCTAATCGCCCGACAACAACAAGAAAAACACTGCCGCGTCGAAAAGGCAGAAGAAAAGACTAGATGTTGATAAGAGAGCTTTCGCTGTCTCAAAACAGCAGTCAAAAAAGGTTGACAGCGTTTGCATACATATATGTGTGTTTAAAATGACCTTGAGAAGCACTAATCTCATTGTTAAATTTAAGACAATGAACAATCAAAAGGATTTCAAAGATCATAAGCAGCTCGAGAGGAAATTAGGTCGCAATCAGTGAGTGAGGTGAGAGAAGTACAAAGAGACATGTAAAAATGACACGTAGAAAATTAGGTCTGTATGTGATCAGTATGGTAGGTGTATTTTGCCTATATATGTAAACTGAGTTGCCAATCAATGAATCCACTGCCAAATACTCTTTTGTCCTGCTATTACAATGGCACTGTGATGAGTGCTACTGATAAGATTTATCAGTAGTATATAAAGTGACGTTCATCGGTGCGAAAACATCAAATAGCAGCGAGATACATTTGATCTCAGAGAAGGCAAATGATAGAGTAGCGTTGTGGAGATGCGTTGGGAGATGTGAAATAAACACAATATGAAGTCCAGTAGTACTAAAACACGAAGATCTGTGCAAATGATGCGTTGAATACAAGGTATACATAATTTGGCTATAAATAAACACTAAGTCTCTATTCCTTTTACCGTATCAGCACTACAATAGTCGTCTTAAACAGATTCTTAGTGCCTTCAGATGACCCATAAATCATTTCTTTATTTCTTATGCTACTATAGTGCTTTCTTTACATGTGAATATTTCTCTCTGACGAAAAATAATGATAATGACGTCTCGAAAGTTTTGTGTAGGCACCAGGATTTCATTCGGAAACAAAAAATATTTGGATCCAACCAACGAGGCAGGGGCCTAACACACGTTGAGTGACTTCATAAGGGAAGAATGCATAAAGTTGGCTTAGATAAGTAAACAGTGTTAAACAACATGTCATTAATTCACGTATCCAGCAGTCTTTGGTTGGACTGGACTAGACTGTTTGGCTGGATTACTCAAGTTACTATAAAAAACTTAAAATTATTTTACAATACAGCTAATAATTCAAAAGAACTGTCGTCAAGATTTGACAGAATAGTTCTAAAATATTTGGGCGCCGAGTGAGAAGTAGACATTTGTAAAAATTATATTTGTAAAATTGAAATGAGTAAATTCCAACGTTTCGTTCGGCAATCTGGTCCGAACTTCTTCAGAGAAATTAATCGAAATTAACATAACAGAGGTTTATATATAAAAGGAACATCACTTGTTTTTAAAAACTTTGTCCAATCATGAATCATTCAACAAGTGTAATAACCAAATTTTTAAAAGCTGTGATCAAAATTTGACCTCGGACTTACAAATATTGGTCTACCTTTGTTAAACACTTTAAACAGAGTATGTATGTGTGTGTGGGTAAACAGTTGTAAAACATTTCTTGACGTCTCCATAAGAAGATATGGACAGTCGAGAATTTTGACCAAGTATTATTAATTAGTGATACATATCCATTTTTTATATATTAATAAGGATTTCCTATGCATCAGCTAACATCACGCCTTCATGTCTGTTCAAACTGTTAGTATCTAGAATTTTATGGTTAGACGTATTTTCAAAATTATGGTGCTTGGGATTAGAGTTTAGTTTAAGTACCCTGTCGAACTTATTGCATTGTATTCTTTCAGAAGATTGAGCTGCTTTATTCGACCTACTGGAGTTGTCAGGTGACTCGACAGCTACGGATTTAGGATACGCATTCTGTTGCAGATAACGGAGAGTGAAACCACGATGACTGTGCCAATTACACAGTTTCTTTGTTAATTTAATTCGATTGCAAAATAATTCAAATGAACTGTCGTCAAGATTTGACAGAATAGTTCTAAAATATTTGGGCGCCGAGTGAGAAGTAGACATTTGTAAAAAATTATATTTGTAAAATCTCAGCGAGATTGAAATGAGTAATTCCAGTGTTTCGTTGAATGACTCATGATTGGACAAAGTTTTTAAAAAACAAGAGTTGTTCCTTTTATATATAAACCTCTGTTATGTTAATTTCGATTAATTTCCCTGAAGAAGTTCGGACCAGATTGCCGAAAACAGGAAACGTTGGAATTACTCATTTCAATCTCGCTGAGATTTTACAAATATAATTTTTTACAGCTAATAATTATTCATGATACTGAAGATGGATTCACTTTATATCCTCTTCTAATTTCTTAAGGGCTTCCTTAATCATTTAGTTATTCTCCTTGTCCTGTGCATATTGTTCCACTGTATTATCATCAAATCTCTATTTTCATAATGTACACATACTGTTAAGAAATCTTGGGGCTGAAAGAGATGCAGTTTAGTGCAAAGACATACACTGACTCTTCAGTCAGTCAGTCAGTCACATTTATTCATAAACACCTGGTGACATGTTTATGTAACTGTACGGAGACTCACTGTGGTAATTCAAAAAGTTTAATTAGTGGATTAAAGCATATTTTACAAGCAGTGGTATTTAATAATTATCTTCCAAAATATCTAAGAAATTTCTTGCAATCTGACTTAGAAACTAGCGATGATGTAAGTAGTGAAGGTAGTGTATGTCAAATACAAACGAGCACGATTTAGCACCGCTGTATATGTTTGTTTTTTTTGGAAAACTCTGCTACCAGTAACTACGGAACAGTAATTGGAAACGCCCAGCTGGGCGCTGGAAGGTAACATGAGCCGAGGGGGCGAGAAAGAATCATGTCAGCAGGAAGTAACAGCTTGTGGGTGAACGTAGAGTAAGCTAAAAGAAAACAAAAGAAAGACGGCAGAAGGATGAGTGAAAGGATGTTCTCCTCTTACCTAAGGAATGATTTTTTTTCAGAAAATTTGACAGAAAGCTAACATGTGATCTAGCCGTTAATTTTGGTGGTGAAAAGCGTTTATTGACGATTGAATACAGATGGTAAGCGGTTAAATCAAATCAAACAAAACGTGCATATTTTATTTTTTTTAAAAGTAAACAACATGTGATTTTATTAGATTATTTATTCAGAGTTATAAGAAAATAATAACACACAAATGTTCCAATGCATCTCATTTCAGTATCATTTTCACACCTAGAAAAAAAAACATTTCACTTGAAGGAAGACCAGTAAAATATGAATGTCACAAAATCAAAAAGGATTATTAAATGAGACTGTAATTCCCTTCACCGTTATAAGTACCAACAATGATATGACTACTGTCGTTGATTTTTAAATAATGATTCAATGCGTATCTGTACCGATAACTTGGATGGTAAATAATGCCAATTAATTCACCACTGCTTGAACAACATGTTAAATGCTTAGATAAATCCCAGTCACTTAAATATTGTTGTTTTGCCTTTTGTTGAGCTATTTGTTCATCTTTTTCCTAAAAAATAAGAATTATATTTGCTTAAGTTTTATACTACTAAAATTATAAATAAGTAGTTCAAATTAACTCATCAATATTTCGGGATTTCGATATTTTATCTGGCTGCTTAATTGGTTAATAAATACTGAAGTTCGACAAACAGAGAAAAATTTAGCCAGTTAAGATATTGATTAACAGTGGAGCTCTAAAGGCATGTTTGATTTTAATGTAAACTCTACAGAAAGGTATAACTGTATTCTAATCAGTTTTGGATGAAACATGCATTTTGTATTTCACTGCAAGTCATTAAAAGGTTTTTTTTTCCTTCGCGTTCCCCAGTGAAACATAGGGCTTCAAGCTAGTGGTTTGAAGTTTCTGTAGCAATGTTTATTTTACAGGATGGGGTTGCTAGCCTCATGCCCAACCTTTCCTCTTTACCAGCATTATTTCTGGCTCAGCGAGGTAAAGGAGTGCGTTGGCTGGGGACCATGTACATGGTCGGCGAGCGTCCTAACCGCTATGCCACCGACGAACCCATTAACAGGCTAATTCCTAAAAAATTTCATCATTGATAACGTTTTAGCATCTGTGTCATCTGCTAAGATGCTAATATAGTTTAAATAACTTAATTCGGTGAATCAGTGTAGTGAATTAGACAATTTTTCGCTATTCATGTCGTGGGGTGATGATGCAGTTTAGAATGGAGACTCCAGATGTAAGAGGGTTCACTGACTACTAGAGAGCTGTAATACTAATAATTTTGGTTTTGAATACCTCTCAATCTCCAAACTGAGTTCATCAAACAAAATACATTGAACAGATAGATAGATTCAGATTATAATTACCACTTCGACGGAATCCTTCGAAGTGAGGACAGGAGTAAAACAAGCTGGCTGCCTACTATCGCCAATGATTTTCCTGATTGCAGTAGACTGGATAATGCAACAAACAGCGGGCAATGAGGAAACAGGCATAAAATGGACTCACACAAAAAACTTGGAGGATCTGGACTTCGCCGATGATATATGTCTGATTTCTCACAAACTGGAAGATATGCAAGCGAAAAGCAACAAGTTTGACAGAAGAAGCATCAAAGATAGGAATTCACTTAAGGTGAACATAGAGAAAACAGAGGTGATGAAGATTCCTGGGCAACACCACCAACAGCAACAACAACAGAAAACAATCACCATTAATGGAAGGAACCTGAAAGAAACAACCTCCTCTACCACCTACCTGGGAAGCATCGTTTCAACTACAGGCGAACGGAACTGACGAGGATATCAAAGCAAGAATCGGAAAAGCAAGACAAGCTTTCACTACTCTCAAGTCTGTGTGGAGGTCAACACCACTCAGCATCAAAAATAACATCCGGATTTTCAACTCCAATGTGAAGTCAGTCAGTGCTACTTACTGTATGGTCAGAGACTTGGCCATCGCGTCATAAAGAGCATCTCAAACAAACTACAGACCTTCATTAACAGTTGTCTTCGCTCAATACTCAAGATCAGATGGCCAGCCGGCCATAAAAGATCAGCAACAGAGATCTCTGGCAATGAGCGACCCAACTGAGCAGGAACCGATTGTGAAACAAATAGGCAGGAAGAAATGGAGATGGTGCCAAACTCTGAGGAAATAATCCATCAAGTGACTGACATCACACGACAGACCATCACTCAAGTGGAACCTGAAAGGGAAGCGACGAGTTGGTCGTCAGTGCGAAGGTGGGGTGACTTGGAGGAGGTGATGTGAAGAGGAGATGAAAGCGTATGGGCAGACATGGAGCCAGGTGAAGACTCTAGCAGAGTATCGAACGCAGTGGAGACGCACAGCTGAAGCCCTATGTTCCTCTAGGAATTAAAGGAAACAATAATATTTTGATATGGTTGTGTTCTCTGAGCTGTATAGTTAATTCGCAAAGCTTTCATCGCCCTACTAGGTGACATCTTCAGCGCATACTTCAATTTGAAGTGAGCTTTCAGATTTCTTCACGAGTTCATTAATCACCTCTCCCGGTGGGTGACCTTGGACGTGATTGGTTGTTTTTGTGTGTTTTCACACCTTCTAGGTTACCTGTATTGCAATTCATTGTTTCTTTGACTTGAACTTTGACCCTTTGTGTGTGAGGTTTCTTTCTTATCGGTTGATAAATTTTGTCTATCTCGAGGTGTCTATTGATTGATGATTCACTGGAATACCGGGTGGGCTTCTAAAAATTCTCTAGCATTCTTGTTGTTTCCTCTGTCTAATATTTGAGCATTGTCCCAGTCGAATTGATGCCCGTGGTTGTCTGTATGTAGTGATATGAGGGAGTGGATATCATGTCTTTTGACAGCTAGCTTATGTTCATGGATACGAAGACGAAGGGGACGTCCACTTTGGCCAATGTAGTGTTTTTCGCAGTTGATACAGTCTATTTTGTAGATGATATTGGTTTTATCTTCTTTCGCTGTTGAGTCTTTTGGTTGACATAGAATTGAGTGAAGTGACTTTGTTGGTTTGTGTACGACATCAATTCCTAAAGGTTTGAAGAGTCTTGTAGTGATTTCTGAGATGTCTTTTATATATGGTAAGGCGATTTTCTTTGTGCTTTCCTTGGGGGCTTTTGGTTTGATAGGTTTGCTTAACAGGATTGCAGCGAATAACAGTGTTAATTTGACTGGAAACTACTCAGTAACTAGTGCCCAGTTTTTGTCTAGACCTCATCCGGTCCTTTGTTTACTACAGACTGAATTCTTTTAGTCAAGTTTACAATGTGGTCACCATGCCACTACCACTAGGTGGCTTACCATCAAGGTGCACTAGGTGGTTTGAGGTAAGTTTCGCGCTAGTTGGCACTCACACCAGTCAGTCAATAAGACGTGTCTGCAATCACCTTGAAGGAACAGCTCATGTCCCCTTCTTCTGAGATTTGAACCTGCATCAGCGAGACACGTTACCATTAAGCTATTTGTGCTAGCGATTGAACTCCTGTAGAACTTTATTAGATACTTTCATTGGAAACTGTTAGTGCAAGTAGTGTAATGTGTCTAGGTAGCTTGCCACCACGGGGAAGACACGCCTTGCTGACGAGTGCCAACTAGCACGAAACCTAGGTCAAGCAAGGCTTGCTGCCAATTGCCTCTAACTATCTAATATCATCAAATCAAGGTGCACCGGGATGATGAGCTACCTACAATGGTGGCCACATTGCAAACCTGACTGACTGATAGAATTCAGTCTACATTAAAATAAGGACTAGACACATCACACTAGTTACTAGTGTCCAATCAAACTACTCACTACAGTCCTACTGGAGGTCAATCTCGAGCCCAAATAGCTCAGTGGTAACGTGTCTGACTGCAACACTGGGTGGGTGACGTGGCCTCGAATCTCAGAATGGAAATGAGTTCCTTCAAGGTTGCAGATACCCCTTGCTGACTAGTGAGTGTCAACTAGCACGAAACCTGGGTCAAGCAAGGCTTCCTGTGGCTGATTGCCTCTTCCAACTATCTAATATCATCAAAAGTATGTCATTATTCTTCTTTGCCTTATGTTAAGAAACGAAAGATGACGTGTACTCACTTGTTTATTTCCTCCAAGTTTTGGTAACACCCTTGTAGGACTTCGTCGATCCCGTTCTGCTTGAAGTTCTGTAAGTGAAAGAGAAAAATGTGGGTTCTTCTTTAAATGTATTGAAAGTTTTATGAGAATCACTTACTTCCCAGTTACAATAATGATAATAATAATAATAATAACGTCCTAATAACTGACTGTGTTGACTTATCAAGTTTCAAAGATACGCTCATTTATTGAAATGATAGTTATGACAACACAGTACAATACCAATTTAGTTGAGTTCTTCAGAGTACGAACAAGATGGACATCTCTGATATGATAATAGAACTTGTGCACTGTTTGTTAGATGACTATAATTCCATTGTGGGTAGAATTTATTTTGATAAAGTCACACAGTGTTATACAGCAAATAATATCTACTGATGAACACGTTTCGAGCAGAATTTATTGCTGCTCAGAATCATCATATCTGAAGGCACTGCTCACACAACTTTCTAACTTCGTTTATATCATTCCATCATTATTTTTCATCGCTTGACTTGATTGGTAGTAGCATTCTCCATATTTCCGGTATGAGTGATGAGTCATTCCCATTGCACGTGTTGGATGTAGACTCGGTGAACCAGACAGGATTCAGTAATGAATCTCTCTGTACCTCCACCTATCTACATTACTTTCTAGAATTTTGAATCTGTCCCACATACCCTATTGTGTGATTGTATGTTGATGCATGCAGTGCACTTGCTGAAATTTTCTCTAAATTACTTATCTTCTCGGGGTCAGTCATTCGAATCTTGGATGAATTCTTAATATTCTTATAATCTCACAACTCCTGATCTATTAGTCGCATTGACCTATGTAGTTGACCACAGTCATGACAAGGCATTTTGTTGTAAATTACATTATTTTGTCTAATTGCTTCCACCGACAGGGTCCTTAACCTACAGAGCTTGTCTCTGAGTGAGTCTGTAGGTTGGAAAGCCACCTTATTCCTGTTTTATTGAGAATTCTACGTAGGGTCTAAGATGTCCCTTCCTTACATGGTAAAACTACTGTAGGTGCAGTACATTCTTTCTTATTTATCATTATTATCATTATTAGTTTCACGATTACTTTTATTTTTATTTTCCTTTTGACGTGTTTTGATATTCCTAGTGAATTTTATAGGATAGTTATTCAACACCGACGCTTCTTCTTCTGTCTGCTTCATTTCATCGTTTAGGTGTTTTTTTTTTGTAAGACTCAGTGCTGTTATTGCTCGGTTTGTTAGACACTCAACTAGGCCTACCTTTACAGACCGACAACGGATGAGATGAATTATAGTCCAAATATTTATTAGCAGGATGCGTTGGCGTTTTATAAAGGTTGTTGTGCAGTTTACCCTCCGCTGTTCGCTTTGTTTTACAATCTACCATCAAAGCTAATTCTCTTTGTTCATTTTCTGATTCAAATGTGAATTTTACTTCACTTTACTAAGGAGTTAGAGATATATGTTCTGCTTTTATTGTTATTATTATTATTATTATTGTATCCTTAAATTCCTACAGGAACATAGGGCTTCAGCCGTGCGTCTCCATTGCGTTCTGTTCTCTGCTAGAGTCTTCACCTGACTCCTCTTCACATGAGCTTGTCTAATGATGTCACTTGATGGTTTCCTCAGAGTATGGCCAGCCAATCCATCTCCATTTCTTCCTGCCTATTTGTTTCACAATCGGTTCCTACTGGGTTGGTTCGCTCATTGCCAGATATCTCTGTTGCTGATCTTTTATGGCCGGCCATCTGATCTTGAGTGGTATTGAGCGAAGACAACTGTTAATGAAGGTGTGTAGTTTGTTTGAGATGCTGTTTATGACGCGCAGTGCAAGTCTCTGATCCGTATAGTGAGTAGCACTGACTTAACATTTGAGTTGAAAATCCTGATCTTATTTTTGATGCTGAGTGGTGTTGACCTCCACACAGACTTGAGAGTAGTTAAGGCTTGTCTTGCTTTTCCGATTCTTGCTTTGATAAACTCATCAGTTCCGTTAGCCTGTAGTTGAAACGATGCTTCCCAGGTAGGTGGTAGAGGAGGTTGTTTCTTTCAAGTTCCTTCCATTAATGCTGATTGGTTTCTGTTGTTATTGTTGGTGGTGGTGGTGTTGCCCAGGAATCTTCATCACCTCTGTTTTCTCTATACTCACCTAAAGGGAAATCCTATCTTTGATGCTTCTTCTGTCAAACTTGTTGCTTTTCACTTGCATATCTTCTAGTTTGTGAGAAATCAGACATATATCATCGACGAAGTTCAGATCCTCCAAGTGTTTTGTGTGAGTCCATTTTATGCCTGTTTCCTCGTTGCCCACTGTTTGTCGCATTATCCAATCTACTGTAATCAGGAAAATCATTGGAGATAGTAGGCAGCCAGTCAGCTTGTCTTACTCCCATCTTCACTTCAACGAAGTATTCCGTGAGTTTCCTATTTGTGGATTACTTGGCATGCAGCATTGTCATACAACTGTTGGTTGAAATGTATAATTGTTGGCGGCATCCCTTAGTAGTAGCGAAGTAGTTGCCAAAGCACCTCCCGATTGACGCTGCGCTATTGAAGGCCTTTTCAAAGTCGATGAAGTTGAGATAGAGAGGTGACTGCCATTCCAAGCTTTGTTCAATGATGATCCGTAATGTGGCGATCTGATCAATGCATGACTTGTTTCTCCTTAATCCAGCCTGTTCCGGTCGAAGTTTTTCATCCAGGTTGGCATGTTTGATTCTCTCCAGGATGATGCGGCTTAGTATTTTGCTTGGGATACTACTATGAAATATAGAAAATACTATTACTAATCAAATGAAGCAATGAAAAATAATGATGGAATGACATAAATAAAGTTAGAAAGTTGTGTGAGCAGTGCCTTCAGATATGATGATTCTGAGCGACAATAAATTCTGCTCGAAACGTGTTCACCAGTAAATATTATTAATTACTGTATAACACCATGAGATTTTATCAAAATAAAATTTTACCCACAATGGAGTTACACATAGACATCTAACTGGACGGAAAATACATGGTTATAGTCATTTTCTTCTGGTTCTTACACCAAAAGTAACATCCGAGGTAGTGTATATAACAACACTGAGCGTTGGTGGCACAGCGGTAAGGACTCTTGCCCACCAATGCACATGGTTCGGGATTCGATCCCCTGATATCAAAAGTCAGCCTGCAAATTTGGTCTACCGATAACGCATGCTGAAAATTCAATACCTGCACCAAAACGCACACTGTCTGGTTTCAAGCTATATAAACAAAATTAAATTAATTAAACGGAATAATTTTTGTTTTGCCATGACAAACCATATTGGTACACTAACCTGGAGATAGATAACATTCATTTTTATGCCTTGTTGTCCATGATTTCAATTTACACACTTTTGAACAGAAATACACTCTTCGACAACGTGAACATAACACCAAACGTATTCCAGCTGATCGTCCGCATTCATAACAGAAAGAGTAGGAAATACAACTAAAATAATCAGAAAGAAGAAAGGATAAATAAACTGGGGAGTTTAAAATCTCCTTTATTTAACACAATTATGAAGTAATATCAAGTTAAAAGGATTTATTAAAATGAAATCCAGAATCATGATCATGAGGTTCTAGTCTTCGTATAAGAAGATCCTATAGATGTCTACCAAAAAACAGAACGAGTAGACGGCTTAATGATACAACGAAATTTAACTTAAAAGTAAGCAGAAGACGACGGACTCGGTGTCTGAATTGTGGTGACAGCTGTTTGTTAGCCAAAATTGTAGACAACAACTTAAATCAATGTTTACGACCCAAATAGGGGTCATGAGAAAAAACAGTAACAAAGAATAACCTTCCATATTAGTTTGTTTACTAAATGTATCACACAGTCTGTGAAACAGTATTATTAACTGGATGACAAGGTTTTGAACACAACTTATTATTGTTCATAATCATAACATTAGTTATAATCATACGATTTTGAAACTTGAGTTTTATGGTTGTTTTCTTTGTTCTCTCCTATTTGTCGTCGTTGCGGTAGGAGAATTTCCGATCATCCCATCCTATGTCAGTAAAAATAGGGTTGGCGAAATGCTTAAGTAACAGAGCACAAAAACTAAGACAGGAAGTGAGGCATATAAGACAAGCTTTGAAACATAATAATAAATAAGTCAGAAAGTATGCAGGGAAATGTAAAAATAAAAATAAAATAAATAATGGTAGTAGTGATAGTGATAATAATAACAATAGTATTAATAACGACATGCATGTCAAACATACGCACGATAATGATAATACCAACAATAAGCAATCGAAATCATCAGTAGTAATTCCATACAAGGAAGGAACCTCAGAAACCTTACACAGAATTCGCCGAAAAGAGTCTCTTCGCTGAATGTCTTCTCTTTTTCATATGACTCAATGGGGATTTTCAATCTACTCAAATGTTGCAAGGACCCAGTGACGGTGAAGGAGCTGGATGGTTTTCTGCGTTACTCCGTCAAGCTTGCGGTAGCGAAGACAAAGATTGATTTCTTAAGAGATTGTATAGATCGACATGAGTATCCAAAGATGTATTGGAAGGCACTCAGACGCAACCACATCCAACCGAATACCAGAACACTCAGACGACACACACGAAACAACATCGACTCCATTCAGTCACGCGTCCCCAAGCTAGAGCGAAACGTCTACTCACGAACTCATGCAGTTGAAGACTTAGATCAAGAACTACGCCATTCCTTCGAAGAATATGTACAACAAGTCACTCAGAAAGAATTTAACAAGACTAAAGCAGATCTCAAAAGCCTAAAGCCTACAATTAACACCGAATCTCTGTTCCCAAGCAATCCAGAAAAGTGCATATTCAATCTTTCAGACATCACACTGTCTACTACTCAACTAGAGGCACTATCTCTAGGTTCAAAATTCTGCGTAAAACCACCAAGTATTGACAAGCTACAATGCCAGGTTCAGTTCGAAAATCTAATAAACCAGACTTACGATCTCACACCTACATCAGACGAAAACCTACAACAATTCAAAGCATCAATCCTCGACTGTTGTCACAAGTTTATAAATACCAAACACAACGGAAGATCCATCTTGACGAAGAGGCATCATGAGGAGCTGAAAGAACTTATGAAAAATGAAGAGATTATGATATTACGTCCTGATAAAGGCGGAGGAATCGTAATCATGAATCGCAAGGACTATATCAGTAAAATGCTAACTATACTATCCGATGAATGCAAATTCACAAAACCGATCAACGAGAAAAACATGACTGAACAGACCGAACAAAAGCTAATGGACACCCTCCATAAGTTGAAGACTGAATCCTTCATCAGCAACGAAATGTTCGAATCCCTTAGACCATCTGGCTCAAATATACCACGACTTTACGGACTCCCGAAAGTACACAAGAAGGGTATCCCTCTTCGACCGATCCTCGACATGACCAATTCACCCTATCACCGCACAGCTCAATGGTTAGCAGATCTACTTGAACCAATCAGAAAACAAGTTTCCTGCCACACAGTTCGAGATTCATTCGACTTTATCGACTCAATCGAAAATATCAACGTATCCAACAAGACAATGATTTCATTAGATGTCACATCACTATTCACAAACGTTCCACTGACTGAAACAATATGCTGTATATGCGAACTTATTCACTCCAAAGGAATAAACATCGGTATACCCACCGAGCATCTTAAAGAACTCCTACTGAGGTGTACCCTGAATGTTCAGTTCTCCTTCAACAACGAAATATATCGCCAAAAGGATGGTATAGCTATGGGCTCACCACTAGGCCCTTTGCCTGCAGATTTCTTCATGGCAAAAGTCGAAAACACATGCCTGAAGAAAATGATCAATACCTTCGAAATCTATAAAAGATACGTCGACGACACCTTCATTATCGTCAACAACGAAGAAAATCTAGACGACATCTTGAAGTCGTTTAACAACTGCCACCTTGCAATTCAGTTCACGATGGAGAAAGAGTCCAACTTCACAATATCCTTTCTTGACGTCTAACTAACAAGAAGAGAACAGGATGGAACACTGAAAAGGTCTATCCACAGAAAATCAACGTGGAACGGACAGCTTAATAACTTTCACAGTTGGGTACCACTATACACCAAACGAAACCTGATCCGTTCACTCAGCTACAGAGTTTGCAGAATTTGCACCCCGGACACCATAGAAGATGAACTGGACAACCTCAAGAGAATCCTCGTTGAGAATTGCTATCCAGAAAGATTTATTGCGAAATCTATGAATCCTAGACCAGAAAAGCCGCCCATACTTAGCGTCAAGAAAAAACTACTGTACATGAACCTTCAATTCAATGGAGATTCATCTGCGGAAACACTAAAAAATCGACTGTCGCGCTCACTTAAGAAGACCTTCTTCGCAGCTGAACTACGACTAACCTTCGCCACAAAACCTATGATTCATGTGAACGTGAAGGATAAGCTACCGCTGCTGGCCTCATCAATGTGCATTTATCAATTCACCTGCTCGTGTGAAGCCAGGTATGTCGGCCGTACCCAGCGCTCGCTTTCCAAACGTATCACCGAGCACTTACCAACATGGTTTTACAAAGGAGAAAATCGATGACCCCGCAGTTCTATCTTAGAACATCTGATAGAATCTGGACACCAAGCTACACCGCAAACAAACTTCAAAGTCGTCTACAGAGTAAGAAGTAGTCTCCCTAAAGGTGTACGAATCAGAATTCTTCAAACTGCAGGAGCAATGGCGATTCACTTGCTAAGTCCTGAACTCTGCATACATTAGAAGTTCGTTCAATCACTACACTTGCAATGGACGTATTCTATCTTATTAGCCGACATGTAAATTCTACCTAATCTTTTCTTCTGTCTCTTCATTAGTATTATTTTGTCTTCTCAATTGTAATATTTTACATTTTCAACTTTCTTGTTCTCTACCCTCACCCGATTCAATTTCTACACCTCACTACCACTGTTACTGACTTGAACAACGCTCAGTTTCTAGTCATTCATGTTACGTCATCCAACTTGTTCACTCAATTTCACTTCTACTTAATCTCTACCTGTAATTACCTCTGTTGCTATCCTGACCTAAGTTGTAACATTTTAGCCAATTATATTACGTCATCTAGCTTTTTAACTCATTTACTTTAGTTGATGTCTGATTAACTTTGTCTCTATACTACATCATTCTTGTATTAACTAATCAATTATCTAAACTTGACAAACCACATGTACACACACGCACAAATATTTACATATAAATGCGATTGTACAGCTATGTGAATGAATTCGCCGAAAATAGTCTCTTCGCTGAATGTCTTCTCTTTTTCATATGACTCAATGGGGATTTTCAATTTACACAGAATTCTTAACAAGGCAGGCAGGAATAAAAGTGGCTGGCATTCAACCCACCCACAAACTCAATTGGAAATAAGCCTTGTCGGTTAAAGGATCAATCCTGTGGAACAGCACATTAAACAAAACAATTTAGTTGATCTAATACCCTGCCTGAAATGATTGTCAGATCAAATACATAGGTCAAAGTAGTAGAACAGGGGCAGTCAGCCTAGCCAAGCATAAAAAGCTAGCAGCGAAATCTACATTAGTTGACCCGAATAAGACAAGAAATCTAGAGAATAGTTCAGCCGTAGATAGCACTCACTACATGTAATTACACACAACGACACCACCCAATAGGATGGGATTGGATGACAGTTTTAAAATCTAATGTAACAGCTGGGTGGAGGGAGACATTGATAACAGAAGCTTTAATTATCGAATCAACTGCAAACACGTGTAATAGTAGTGAAACAACACCTGTCCCTATCCCAGATATCTGGAAAATTCTACTACCACGCCTACGATGACAAATAGGAGAGAACAAAAACTATAAAACTCAATTTTCAAAGTCGTGTGATTATAATTGATGATATGATTACGAACAATAATAAGTTGTGTTGGAAACATTTTTATCCAGTAAACAGTGATACTGTTTCACATCGAGTGATATATTTAATAAACAAATTAATATGGAATTACATATACTACCACACAGTGCCCAAGTTTTACACATTTATTAACAGTGTAGAATGCATTTTCTACATAAGGCGAGAACATAGACGGGATCGTTCACTCATCCCTAAAAAGTGTACCTATCAACTGGCCCTTGAGAGAACTACCATAATGTCAGTATTTTCTTTCCGATTAACTTGAGCATAGATTTTCAGTCCTATACACAAATGGTTTAACAACTATCTGCATGTCTATTTGTCTATTTATTTATCACTAATATCCCGGATAAATAAACTTGAGGATGATATCACCAGTGAGTACAGCTGAATTATAACGATAGTCTCACTAGTAAAATATTCCCATTCAGTATCACATGTAATTGTGTACTGTAAGCATAATAGAACAATTGACTGTTAGCTTTGCACACATTTTGTACAGTAATGAACACACACACACACACGTTGGTGGTACAGCGATAGGGTGCTCACCGACCACTTAAGTGGTCTGGGGTTCGATCCCTGGCCACAGACGCACTCCTTCACCCAGCCAAGCTTGTGATCAGATTGATAAAGAGGGCAGTTTGGGCATGAGGCTAGCCACCCCATCTCGTAAAAATAAATTCCACTGAAACTGAAACTTCAAAGCCCTAGCCTGAAGCCCTGTGGTCCATGGAGAAATGTAGAGGAGTTTTTAAAAAGGATTTTCTAGTTAACCTCCTGCATCTTCGAACAAATTGATATTGAAAATAACTTCTTATCACTTATAATTCGTTAGATAGTTCACGGCCGCCATACGGAAGCAATCGTCGGTGGCACAGTGGTTAGGACGCTCGCCGACCATACATATGGTCCGGGGTTCAAATCCCGGCCTGCGCACTCCTTTACCTCGCTGAGCCAGAAATTAAAAAAAAGCTGATAAAGAGGAAAGGTTGGGCATGAGGCTAGCAATCCCATCTTGTAAAAATAAACATTGCTACAGAAACTTCAAGCTTCTAGCTTGAAGCCCTATGTTCCACTGGGAACGCGAAGGAATGAAAAAAAATACGGAAGCAACCATCAAGGAGGAGGGATGTCCATGAATCTGAGTTTCACTCTGATTGACACTTATCGGTAAGGTGTCTCGGCAACCTGGAAGGAAATAGCGTCCACACGTCATCCAGTGCTACAATCAAAGATGTTACTGCTGAGCTATTCCAACTTATGACTCATCTTATGTCTCACTATAATACATACTGTGCACTGACTAGGGAGAGTTAATACACATGGAAGGAACCTTGGTTCAGAACTTCTTCCCAATTAGCTAACATTAATTTATGGCGCACCGCGAACCCGCATCATTCACTAGTTACTGGAGAATAACCAATATCATATATGAAGTTCACAGTGATCACTGAAGTCTAGCATCCCAGTCAGTTTTCAGTGTGTTCACCAAAAGCTTCACAACTATTATCGCTGTGTCAAGTTCTCACACCAGTACAAATGACTAGATACAAGATCCTGAATGCTCCCTGTCAAGCAACCATTTTACATCTGGACTAATACCACCTGCAAACGAGTGATCAATGATTTGTAAATTCTGACAATAAACTACATCCCGTGTCATGTCATCCATCAAAGCGTGAACAAAATGCAATTTACAAAAACTGAAGAACAAAACAGCAAAAGATTATGCCAACTGATGTATGGTTAGCTGGTCAACTGGTTCATTAAAAAGGGAATGATGAAGAAAGTTGAAAAAAAACACTTAATCCGCGGAAGGAGTTCGATATACCGATGTATGCATACTAACCTTTTTTGTCTTAGATAAGTTGGAGATTGTTGAGAACGTTTCGGAAAGGCTGGAAAAAAAATCAAAGAAAGATAACACAAAAGAGATGAGTAGATTTTATCTTCTCATCAATTTTCAATAATCATCATCTCTGAAGTCAAATGATGTCGATGTTAAGAAGGAAATACTTAATTAGGTCATTAACTGATATTACATTTCAGTTAACATTTTATTGGAAACCAGTTAGTAACTAGTGTTATGTGTCTAGTCCTCTGTTTGGTTGGTGCAGGCTGAATTCTATCAGTCACGTTTGTAATGTGGCCATCATGCCACTAGGTGACACGCCATCACAATGCACTGTGAATTGTTGGTATTAGATGGTTGGACGCAGTCGGCCACAGGAAGCCTTGTTCGACCTAGGTTTCGTGGTAGTTGTCACTCACATCAGTCAGTCAGTAAGGCGTGTCTGCAATCACCTTCAAATAACTAATTCCCCTCCTTCTGAGATTCGAACCCGCGTCATCCAGTGCTTCAGTAAATGGTGTTACCACTGAGCTATTCGGACAAGACAAATTAAACTAGTCACTAACTAGTATCCAATCAAAATTATCTAATACTATCCCACAGCAGGTCAATCGTGAACCTGAATAGCTTAGTGGTTACAACTCCTAAGGCAGCATTGGCTGGGTGATGCGGATTCTAATCTCAGAAGGGATATGAGTTCCTTCAAAATTGCAGATACGCCTTGCTGACGAGTGCCAACTAGCAATAAATCTTGGTCAAGCAAGGCTTCTTGACAATTACCTCCAACCATTCAGTATTTCAGTTAACAAACATTACAAAACAACTGAGCAAAGAATATACTTTTCGATAATTTCTTCTTCCAGTTCTACAATTATATATGCATGTTTATATACATAGAATATTCTAGATTAGTATTCACTGGAAATACAGTTCATTAAAGATGCTTTAATAATAATAATAATGACATAAAAACAAAAAGAATATCGAATAAAATTAAAGAACTTTCCACAACCAATTGAAGATCATTCAAACCTAGATGACCAAGGTAAGGATAATTCCTGAAATACCTTCTTTTGGAAGCCCAAATTAAGCTTCTTAAAGTGGATCTCAACAGCCAGCCTCAGCAATATTTAGCGATCGAACTCTTTCGGCGAAGATAAGATTTGTTGGTACGCGGTGGCACAGTGGTTAGGACTCTCGCCGACCATGCACATGGTCCGGGGTTCGAGCCCCTGCCGGCGCACACCCGATATCTATGGTATGCCTGAATTTGGGCAACCGATATCCATGCTGAAAATTCCACACTTGTACTGAAAATACGGTGTGGAATCAAGCTGTAAATCAAAAAAATATCAAAAATCAAAAAAATATCAAGTAAATGACTTTGAAAGCCGCGTCGTTAACATCAATCTTGCGTTTTGTATCCGCGAGATCAGATAGAATAGCACTACGAATAGATTTCGTTTGTTCCTTACTCAACCGCGCAGGGTGATGTTCGGAAATCCGAGACGAGAAACACGCCTAATTGTACGGCCTATGCAACTAACTGATTCACTCCACAGGGGCAGTTAAATTGGTAGATACACATGGAAGAGGCGAAATTAGGCAGTTCATCTTTTATTCCCGAATGCAAAATAGGGGTAGGTGGTTTTTAAGATGCAGTTTAATTCAGCAACACGGAATGCTCTTTCTACCGCATTTCTAAGGCGTTATTTTAGTATCCCGCTGATATTTTCCCCGAGTAACTGAATCTGTAAGAATGAGGACTTTTCACGAACTGTTGGTACCTTGGACTGCTTTGATTTCAGATTCAGATTCCTATCAATAAACTTTTCTGGATAACCATTTTCATGCAGCAACCATTTAATATTATTAAGTTCTTCATCAAGACACTAATATTGTTATTGACTACTATTCTGGAATATTCTATGTATATAAACACACACACGTATAATTGTAGAACCAGAATAGGAGGAAATTATCGAAAAGGATATTCTTTGCTCAATTATTTTGTGTTTTATAGATAGATGTCTGAATGAATATTCTCGCTATAACAAAAATTAAACGAAATTACAAAATCCACTGATTATAATTCAACTCATTAGTTGAAAAATTAACAACTTGACATCCACGATAACTGAATTTTCATATGAAATGTTTTTAACGTCATTTATTACTGGAAATCTCACAAAATGAGACAAAAATCTACCCAGTGTTTGATAGTCCTTAGTAGTGTGAATGATACATCAACATGCGATCAAAGTGTGGAACATAAGGTCGACGAGACAATCACTGCCAGTAGAAGCGATTACAGTGACAGCAGAATCTTTGAGGTCTCTCGCATACAGTCAGGTTAAATAGGAGACAGAGAGACACAGATATTTCATTCATGGGGAATTTCAAAAGTGCAGCGCACAGTGAAGTTCGCTTTGAAGATATTACATGTAAGAACACACAAAGAAAAACTGAATGTTAATTCACTACTTCGTAATTAAAAATGTTTGCAAATAACATCTTCCAATACCATCAACGGGAGGGATGTGAAAGAGGTTACTTCATTCATTCACTTATCTAGGGAGCATTGTCTCAACTACAGGAGGAACGGACGAGGATGTCAAATCGAGCGAGAATCGGGAAGGCGAGAAACACATTCATCAACCTGAAACCAATCTGGAAATCTTCCGCTGTCACTCAGCCTGCATCAACAACAAAGTGATTCGGATTTTCAATACAAACGTCAAGTCAGTCAGTTCTTCTATACGGATGGATCAGAAACTTGGCAGCGGGTCACAAAGAATATTTTCAACAGCCTGTTGCAGACCTTTATCAACAACAGTTGTTTTCGTTCTATACTGAAGATTAGATGGCCGGAAAGAATCAGAAACAAGAAGCTATGGGGACAAACAAAACAGGAACCAATCGCCAAACAACAAATATGCAGGAAAAAGAGGAGATGGATTGGACACTCACTGAGGAGGCCGCTGGGTGATATCGCTCATCAGGCTGTCGAGTGCAACCCGAAAAGGAAGTGGCGAGTGGGACGTCCTAGGGTGACATGAAGGAGATCGTGTGATGAACTGAAACAGTATGGATTAACATGGATGCAAGTGAAAAGTACAGCAGAAGACAGAAGCAATTGGAGGCGTGCAGTTGAAGCCCTATGTTCCACTAGGAACCCAAGGGATCAATAATAATAATACAAATGAAATCAATTGTATGTTCTGCAGTAAGTAACTGGTGGCTTCATACACATAACAGAAGATTTGTTAATTGATAGTGCAATTCTAGGCACATTAATACTTCTAGTTACACTAATATCAGTACAGGCTTAATTTAGAGTCATACTGACAGTAAGATGACAGAAGCCGATTATGCAATCAAAGTTCTCCTCATCCACATGGAAAAAACCTGAACTTGGTGTTCAGAAAGATTTTATCCAACCCCTTTTACCATCAGACAATAGATGTTTTGATTCCTGGATTCTCTGAGCTGAGTATTTCATTTACGAATTATTCATCATTGACTTCAAAATCAAGATATCGCTACAGAGATATTGTCTAATAAAAACCATTTAGCGAAAATATTCATTCAGACTTCTATAAAACACAAAATAATTGAGCAAAGAATATCCTTTTCGATAATTTCCTCCTTTTCTGGCTCTACAATTATATGCACGTATATGTGTTTATTTACGTAGAATATTCGAGATTAGTAGTCAGTAACAATAACGGAAAGACTCTAGTATTTCATTTCTAGACGTCCTTATGCCCGGAAAAGAGGACGGCGCAATAAGCAGAAGTGTATATAGAAAACCTACATCAACGGATCAGTATAATCACTTTTTTAGCTTCGTGCCCTTCAAATACATACGCAATCTGATAAAGTGCTTCGTTCACGGAGCAAGAGCAATCTGCAATCGGATGAATGTCTTGATGAGGAACTCAAAAATATTAAACGGTTGCTGAGTGAAAACGGTTATCCAGAAAAGTTTATTGATAAGAATCTGAATCTAAAATCAAAGCAGCCCCAAGGTACCAACAGTTCTTAAAAAGGCCTTATTCTTACAAATGCGTCGGTGGCATAGCGGTTAGGACGCTCGCCGACCATGCACATGGTCCGGGGTTTGATCCCCGGTCGACGCACTCCTTTACCTCGCCAAGCCAGAAATAATTGCCAGTGAAGAGGAAAGGTTGGGCGTGAGGCTAGCAAATCCATCCTGTAAAATAAACACTGGTAAAGAAACTTCAAGCCACTAGCTTGAGGCCCTATGTTCCACTCGGGAACGTGAAGGAAAAAATATATATAATATAATATAATATATACTTACAAATGCAGTTCCTTGGGGACAACATCAGCGAGATACTAACAAAGCTTCTTAGAAACGCGGTAAAAAGAGCGTCCCCTGCTGCTGAATTACTCTCAGTCTTCAAAACCACCCCCAGTTTTGCGTTTGAGAGTAAAAGACAAACTGTCTCATTTCGCTTCTTCCACGTGTATCTAGCAGTTTAACTGCTACTGTGCACTGAGCCAGTTAGTCGCATAGGCCGAACAATTAGGTGTGTTTCTCGTCTCGGATTTCCGAACATCACCATGTCTGGTTAAGTAAAGGAGAAACAAAATCTATTCGCAGCGCTATTCTATATCATCTTGAGGATACAGAACACAAGACTGATGTTAACCATGCTTTCGAGGCCATTTACCGCATACCAACTAATGTCAATTTCGCCTCGATTAATAAATATTGCTTAGGATGATGGGATCTACAACAAGAAGCCTAATTTATGCGTCCAAAAGAAGATAGTTCAGACATTATCTTTACCTTGGCCATCTAGGTTCAAATGATCCTGAAATTTTGTAGAAATTTCCCTAATTTTAGTTGATATTCTATTTGCTATTATATCTTTATTATTATTATTATTATTTAAGCATCTTTAGTGAACTGTAATTCCATTGTGATCTCACTTAACAAATCGATATTATTTAAAAAACCACCAATATTGTTATTGACTACTATTCTAGAATATTCTATGTATATAAACACTCATGTATATAATTGTGGAGCCAGAAGAGGAGGAAATTATCGAAAAGGATATTCTTTGCTCAATTATTTTGTCTTTTTAAAGATGTCTGAATGAATATTTTCGTTATATTGAAAGGCATAGTTTGTTTAGCTGAAGTTATTCAGTACAGCGAAAATATTCATTTAGACATCTAGAAAAATAATTTTAGAAAATCCAGTAAAGAATATCCTTTTCGATTATTTCCTCTTCTGGCTCTACATTTATATAGATATATGTGTTTATATTCAAAGAATATTCCAGAATAGTTGTCAATAACAATATTGGCGTTTTTAAATAACATCGATTTGTTAAGCAAGATCACAGTGGAATTACAGTTCATTAAAGATGCTTAAATTTTAATGATCATATAGATATAATAGCAACTATAGGATATAAACTAAAATTAAGGAAAATCCCACAAAAATTGAGGATCATTCGAACCTAGATGGCCACGCGGTAAGGACAATGTCTGAACTGGTTCCTGAAAAGGCCTTAATCTTACATATTCAGTTCCTCGGGGACAATATCAGCGAGATACTAACACAGCGTCGTAGAAATGCGTTGAAAAGAGCATTCCGTGTTGCGAAATTGCGCTGTGTATACAAAACCACCCACCCCTATTTTGCGTTCGGGAGTAAAACACAAACTGACTAATTTCGCCTCTTCCATGTGTATCTACCAATTTAACTTCCCCTGTGGAGGCCGAACAATTAGGCGTGTTTCTCGTCAAATTTCTGAACATCACCCCGCATGGTTAATCAAGTAAAGGAGAAACAAAATCTATTAGTAGTGTTATTCAATCTGATCTTGTGGATACACAACACAAGATTGATGTTAACGATGCGGCTTTCAAAGTCAGTTACCGCATACCAACAAATCTTATTTTCGCCGTAAGATTTCGATTACTAAATATTGCTGAGGCTAGCCGTTGGGATCCACATTAAGAAGCTTAATTTATGTGTCCAAAAGAAGAAGTTGGTTCAGGAATTATCCTTACCTTGACCATCTAGGTTTGAATGATCCTCAGTTGTTTGTGAAAAGTTCTTTAATTTTATTCGGTATTCTATTAGCTATTATATCTCTGTTATTATTATTATTATAATTTAAGCATCTTTAATGAACTGTAATTCCATCGAGATCTTACTTTACAAATCGATATTATTTAAAAAACTCTAATATTTTTATTGACCACATTTCTAGAATATTCTATGTATAAAAACCATTTAGTTGAGAGGCCACAACGGGACCTAAAAATATACAGTGGGTTATTATCTGTTTGCATTACAGAATCCGATATTCTTTCCGAATATGTACCAAAAAGCCTATGTCTAAAAGGAACAAATGCTTTCAACAATGCCATCGTCAGGCATATCCTTGATATGGAACATGAAGTGGAAATTGCAAGATCGTTCAAAATTACATATGACCAAAACAATTCATTTCTCGTTAAGTTTGCCGAAACAATCTACATCAAGTCCCTCAAAACCTGATTTATGCATTCAGAAAGAAGCAGTTATCAGTCTTTCTTTGACCTGCCTGAAAAACGGAATATTTTCACTCTCTCTCTTTCATCTGATTACGTAATGTCGAGAGTTTCCATTGTGTATGATCATTATTGTTCGGGATATAGTGTTGATTATTATTATATATATATAATTATTGTATGCATATATTGAATGATTTTTGTTTAAAAATGAGCTCTGTTCAAGTATGTTGAAATTGTTTCTGTAGATATACTTAAAAATGACTTCGGCCTGTAAGCAGATGATGAGAAGCCAATGAAATAAACAGTGATGGTACCAATTTATTCTGCACAAATCACTGTTGTTCTTGCTTTATTTAAATTCATTCAGAGGAATAAATGTATGAAATGACGAATGTTTAAGTTAAAAAAAAGAGAAAAAAAGTGATTAAATCGAAGTATAGAATTCTTCTTTGAGAAATAACGCTCTGTTTTCCAGGAGAAAATAGAAAGCTACATAACACCTACATAGTTTAGCTTGATTTTCACGTGTTCCAGTATTTATCTGTTGAACAGCCTTATCGCCACCATCGCCATCACCATCATAACCATCACCCAATGTATCCAGTGAATAGGTGTAACGTCTTAAACGATCAGCTAAGTAAGCTAAAATTTGTATACGACCATTATAAGTCTCTTTTTCAATTTCATTCAATGCATGATATGGTGTTTTAGTGATTCGTAAATCTTTTGCATAGTCCATAAACGTGAAATCAATCACATTGCCTGTAAAGTAATTTAAAAAATATTTCATGAGTCTTTAAAATAACACTAGAAAATAATTAAACTTTTATGCTAAAATAGTTTAACTACTTATAAAAGTCACAGTAGTGTGTAGTGTATATTGTAAAACGAATATTTCATGTCGAGTTGAAAATTTCGTCAATATATAATATGCTATTCGGAACATTAAAACAGGAAGATGTTTTCCGCATGGGTAGATTAGTAGTGAGTGAAACACATACAATATGAAGGTTGGTAATCACTATTACATTTAACGACAAACCATAATTTGGAGAGAACAATATTATTGATACAATATCGTCATATTATTTTGTTGATTATAACAAAAAGATTAACTGATTGAGGAAACACTCGTGTTAGACAACTTCATAGTGAAACTGTGTAGAAAGTATTTGCATTCGATAAAAAAATGAAACAAGTTGAAGATGAGGCAGTAATACATCGAAGAAGACATTGAGAAATGGTCGCGCAATGTTGTGAATCGACAGAAGTTAGAATTCATGGGCTGGCTGGCCATTGCATAGGGTCTCAGTGGCTACTGAATGGTCTACGAGCTCATTGGCCTTGTAAGCAGTAGGTCTTGGGTTTGAACCTCCTGTGGTGAAAAGTCCCAGACTAGGACGAAACGGCTGTCCAGTACTCCCCGGTTTTCCAGTGGTTCTCTAACTGATGTCAGCTCATGATGAAATTCTGCATCCAATCCGAAAATATATCATAGTATCAAGAATAAACTGCCGCTTACGTCCACCTCTATGTGCATACACTCATTCACATGCTTGTGTGGAGCTGATTACATTGGACAGTCTAAGCGTGTTCTCCGTGAACGTGTAGCTAAACACTACCTGGTTTGGTTAATGATAGGTAAGCATCGGATTACGAAGTCTCCCATTTCTAAACACCTACTTGAGTCGAGTCACCAGGTGTTTTATCCTTTCAATTTATTTACAGGATTAAATTCAACCACTCCAAACTGTTCACGTTTTCTCCACTTATGCATAACCGAAGCTCTAGCTATACATGGACAGAAACCCCCAAATTGTGTGTTCAAGAAAGTTTTGTTAAACCCCTTTCTTTACTTCAGTCATAGTAATGTCCTTTTATTTTATTCGTTATCGCCACTTGGATTCATTCCATTTCACTTCATCTTCGCCGTCTTCACTGTTGTCATCATAGCGATAGCAGGAGGTAGAAAAACGCTGCGAAACAGGAGCCACTTGGTAAGAATGTCACTCGAAATTAGAACTCAACAGTGAGCGCCAATATTCCTATTTGAGACTTCGAGTTATGTGGTGATCACATTATCAGTCAGTCACTTAGTCGGAATCCAGTGCTCCATGAATGCTTACTTTTGTCATGTGAGATGAGGTAAATCAAAATCAAAAAAAGAGTTACTTGAGTAATTAAATAATCAATAAGAGATATAAAAGAGGCATAGTTCGGTCAAATAGTATCAAATAATGGTGATACTATCAGTAAAAAGATGACAAGGTAAAGAGGAAGAAAAATTAACTTGAAAAGCCTCAAAAAGACCATGGAATTTTGCAGATTGATTCTGAAAACATACAGTTAGTGTGTGTTTCAGCTGTAGGCAGGTGACAGGAACTGTAGATTGCCTCAAAATGTTTAGCTGTATTCAGCTGAATAATCTAACTCTATAAAGCGTTCTCAAAATCCAATGTCTGTGAACTACATTCACCTTTAAGTAAAGGAAAATCGATGGTGTCTTTATGTTGTCTTTCAAGAGAAACTGTTTATGAATGGTAAAGGAGCATGTGGAATTACAGGGACTCACAGAAGTGAGTACCCTTCAGACCTTGTTAACCGAGCAACAGTTATATGAGATGAGATGAGATGTAAGCTGACAAATTATTATACAGCTCATTTAATGCGCATTTAGGTAGAGGTTCCTTTATTAGTAATTAACCCGTTACAGTAACCTTACTTTTCGAATTTTTATAGCGAGTATTTATTTCGGATTTATTCAAAAACCAGCAACTAGAAGGCTGATGACCATTGGAGATTTGTTTAATGCTATTCATGATTATGTGATAATGACCGAATTTCAGATTATTCTCATTGCTGTATAGTCCCGCATCCGGCAAGTAAACATTTAGGCGATGAATAATATAGTAAGTAGTCTGATAGTCAAAATTATCTGTAGTCATGATACTTTAATTAGTTGACTTTATTGATCGTAAATTCGAACTCAGCCTAGAAGAAATCCATCTCAAAGTTAATTACCGATAAAAGTCTAGTTGTAATTAAGGATTATGGATAGCTGTTCATTAGTGATATTAGACGGCAGTTCTTAACTATTCACAAATGTTAGAACTCGAGGATTGTAGACCACTGAATACTGAACTATTTGCAGCAAAGTGTAAAATACTTACTAGTGATCATCTTTGAGAATATGAGTTATTAATATAATATTATTATTCCCTTGCGTTCCGAGAGGAACATAGGGCTGGGTCCACGATTCACCAGACTCTCTCATCTCGTCCTCACACGATCTCCTCCTTGTCACCCTCGCACTCATGACCCACTCGTTGCTTCCCAACGGGATTCCACTCAAGAGATGGCCTGGTGTGCCATGTCATCCGGTTGCCTCCTCAATGTATGCCCGATCAACCTACCTCCACTCTCTCCTACATATTTGTTGAGCGATCGGCTCTTGCTCAGTTGGTTTGTTCCCATAGTTTCCAATAGCTTATTCTTTCTGGCTGGCCATTTAATCTTCAGTATGGAGCCAGAGAAGGCAGCTGTAGATGAAAGTCTGCAACCTGTTGGAAATCCTTTTCGTGACACGCTGGCCAAGTTTCTGACCCATATAGAGAAACTGACTGACCAGCTTGACATTGGTGTTGAAAATGCGAATCTTGTTCCCTATGCTGAGTGCAGTGCAGAAGATTTCCAAACTGGTTTCAGGTTGATGAAGGCGTATCTTGCTTTGCCTTTCCGATTCTGACTTTCACATCTTCCGCGTTCCAACTACCTGTATTTGAAACGATACTTCCCAGATAAGTGAAGGAGGTAACCTCTGATGGTGATTGGTGTTGGTTGTTGCTGTTGCTGTTGTATGGTTATTTTTATCACCTCCATTTTCTCTGTGTTCACCTGCAGTCCTGTTTTCACTGCCTGCCTGCCTGCCTCTTCAGCCAGTTTATTGGTTTTCGCTTGCAAGTCTCCAAGTTTGTGTGACATGAGACAAATGTCATCCACGCACGAGATCCATACCTTCTAGAGTCTTCTTATCGGTGGTCCAGTCTGTTGCATCATCCAGTCCAGATTATGAGTGCACACTACCAGAGAAATAATTCATGATAAACTCTGTTTCGTTACAAATACAGCAACATTAGTGTGATAAAACATATCGAAAGAATATACATATATATATGTACTAGCTTACCCAAAGTTTCTTTTGGTTTTAATAAAGTAAATCTATTGAAACACTGAACACCACCTCTGTTTATTAAGCGTTTGATTAATTCTAGACGTGCATCAACAGATCGCCTAAATTCAAATAAACTTGAGCATGCAACACATAAGGCAGATCCAAAGCCACATTCTAATGCCTGGTTAATATTTGTATTCGGATGATTAATTAAAACATTGATACACTGGAATTTAAAAAAAAACAAAAACGAAAGCATAAAAGTAGTGCGAATGGCACAAATAAGTTAATAATGACAGATAGAATGTAGTCAGTAGCGACTTCAGTAAGAAGAAACTTGACACTGGTTATGTCTAAGTGTTTAATATAGTCAGTCCTACAGGTGGTCATTCATGAGGCGGAACAACTCAGCGGTAACATCTCTGACTTCAGTACACGGGTACACATGTTAAAACGCCTCAATGAAAGCATTAATTCTCTCAAGTGTCAAGATACGCCTTGCTAACGAATGTCAATGAGCACACAGCCTAGACTGACAGTAGCCAAGTTAAACTTTAGACACCAATAACTACCAATCAGCGAACGACGTCGAATTATCCAATGAGATTCACTAACGTAGTTCAATGTTGTATAGCGCTTGATTCATTCCAGTGCGTGCCCTTACAAGGTTACGTTTGCAATTCGAGGAGGATAGTGTCTTTTAGTATTGCCTGGACTTAGGCTTGTTTCGAAAAGACAGAAGTCGTTCGTGCGGTGGTGTTATGACTCTTAAAAGCTATACTAGGTCAACCGATGGTTTTGAACGTCGTTGTGGAATATGCTGGAAGCGAGTTAGTATTAGAGAGGGTAATATTTCGTAGGAAATTTTTTTGCTAGGTCGCATCTCTCCCTAGCCCATATTTTGTACATTTGCAATTAGTGGGTACTGAAACAGCCCGTGAGAGCCACTGCTGCCGAGACGGAGAACAGCCTCGTCTCAACAGTTCAGTGGTATACCACTGGTATACCAGTACTGCAGGGACATCGCCTCATGGAAAGTGGAAAGAATTACTTGGTTGTTAGGCGGGGACGACATAGTAGTCCATGTGGATGAGACAGTGTTGGTGAAGAAGAAATATAACCACTGTCGTCAGAGAGCGAACAACATTTGGGTCATAGGTTAATACGACGCCCCTCCGAAAAGGATTTGTTGAAGTAATACCAGACACGAAGGCGACTACCCTGGTACCTATTATAAAGCGACTTGTGAAACCGGGATCAACTGTACATACCGACGAATGGAAAGGCTATGATTCATTGTCATCCCTGGGATACATTCATCACAGAGTGAACCACTCCAGTGATCTCGTGGATCCAGTTACAGGGACTCATACAAATTCCATTAAAGGATTTTGGGGTCGATTGAAAAATAGAATAAGGGCCATAAATGGATCTCAAAAGGATCTCATTTATAGTTACTTAGATGAATATATGTATAGAATATGGTGCTACTTCTCTAATGACAGTCCCATGCTGAATTGGGAAATGTTTCTCTCCCATGTTCGGGAAAGATACCCATTGTAACCGTTTTATCATTTTTTTTATGCATTTTTCTATAAATATACGTTTCCGCTTATCATAAACGCCTCTTTCATGTGATTGGTCCGTTCAAGGTCGTTTGCTGATTGGTTGTTACTGGTGTCGAAAATTTAACTTTGCCCTGACAGGTTTCCATTGACTAGACCTAACCACCTAACATCAGGTTGTATGGCGTGTATGGTTTATGTGAAAATAGTAAATTTCATAGCAGATTTACTGTGTTTGGTAGTCTAAGAGTTACTACCTGATTACCTTTGCCATCTACACATTTAACATACTGTATTCGTTAGCTTAAAAATCAAAGGTATGAGTGATACTTAAAAGCAGGAGTTACATAGTGTGGTGAGAGGTGTCTGCAAGACACAAAATTGCAGACAACAATTGATGTCAATGTTTATGTCTCAAATCGGGGTCACGAGATAAAACAGTAACAAAGACTAACCTTGAGGAACCCAACAACCAATCACAGCAGACTTAGAGCGTGGATACATGGTCTGACCTTCAAAGAGATGACATTCAGTGTGAAAACAGCCAATCAGAAGACGCTGTTTCTCTAATAATAATAATAACGAATAACTATTCGCATAAAAAAATACATAAATATCTGTTGATTTTCTCAATAAACGATCTGTTGCCTGGCCTTTGTCTTCCATTGTAACAACAGTATCCCATTCAAACTTAAATATACCATATCGCTGATACGAATAAATCATGAAGTTGTCAAAATTTAGAAACTCAGCGATTGGCATATTTTGTGGACTGCTTACATTTGATGGAAGCCCAACTCAGTAATTTTTGTATTTGGACCTGAAGAAAGTAAGATCTACTGGTCAGGGTACAAGTGAGTTACTTATAATGCCCACTTAATAATAATAATAATAATCACTTTCATACATTTATTCCCCTAATTGAATTTGATTTAAAATGTAAGTATTGTCCTTTCCATGTGGGCTTTCAATAAATTGACTTTTGAAAACTACCGTCTTCTAGGCGTTCCATGGCAATGTCGAGGAAATGAAACTTTCCGTCACTTTCATGTTCCATAGTAAACTCAATATTTCTGTGTGCATCATTGAATAATCCGAGTAAGTGTGAAGCATGACTTTCATTGTTGCACACTATAAATGTGTCATCAACATATCGACAGTAGGAATTTGTTTCGTCGATTGCATGCTTCAACTTTGTTCTCTCAAGGATGAACATGAATATATCTGCTAAAACAGGGCTAAGTGGACTGCCCATAGCTACACCACCTATTTGACGATAAAGGGTGTTGTCAAATTGGAAATGCACATCTATGGTACACATAAGCATTAGGCGTTTGAATTCTGACTCTGAGAGTGGGAGAAGATCAAACTGCTAACAAATGATCTCAATAGTTTCGTTGATTGGAATCATTGTGAATCACTGTATATACAAATTTGCATGTACCTGATGGAGCAGTTACATTGGAAGGACGAAAAGATGGGCATATCTACGATTTTCTGAACATGTAACAAAAAGCTTACGTCTACAGGGGACAAATGCTTTAAACAGTGACATCGTCAGGCATCTCCTTAACACGGGTCATGAGGTGGACGTCGCAAGATTGTTTAAAATTATCAATAGGCAAAAGAGTTCACTTCTCCTTAAGTCTGCTGAAGCAATTTCTATCAAGCGCCTAAAACCTGATTTATGCATCCAGAAAGAAGCGGTTATCAGTTTTTCTTTGCCCATCCTGTTAACTGGATATTTTCATCTCTCTTTCAGCTGAATGCGTAATGCTGAAAAGTTTCCATTGTGTATGATCATTATTGTTCGGAATAGTGTTTAATATTATACATGTATATATTATTACTTTTGATTGCACACTAGTCAGTAACTAGTGTAATGCGTCTAGTCCTATCTTCGGTGCAGACTGAATTCTATCAGGTCAGTCGCGAGCCTGAAAAGCCCAGTGGTAACGTCTCTGACTGCAGCACTGGGTGACGCGGGTTCGAATCTCAGAAGGGACATCAGTTCCTTCAAGGTTGCAGATACGCCTTGCTGATGAGTGCCAACTGGCACGAAACCTAGGTCCAAGGCTTCCTGCCGATTGCCTCCAACCATCTAATATATTATTAGTGTATGCGTATATTGATCAATTGATTTTTGTTTAAAATGAACTCTGTGCAAGTATGTTAAAAGTGTTTTTGTAGATACATTTAATAATGAATTTGGCCTGCAAGTAGCTGAGCTGATGAGAAGGCAACGAAATAAAAGATGGTACCATTTTATTCTGCTAAAACTGTTGTTCTTGCTTTGTTCAAATTCATTAAGGAGATTAAATCTATGAGATAACAGTATGTGTCTGATAAACAAACTTGTCCACATAAAAGAAGAACACTTAGAATTAAGAAACACTGCATTTGATCTAAAGCATTGAATATATATGAGGTCTTCATAATCCTGAAACAACAGGACGCATGTTAAACCTCAGTCTTTCTTTGCTATGGTAACTGGATATTCTCACCTCTCTTTCATCTTAATGCGTAATGCTGAAAAGAAACTTCTCAGCATTGTGTATGATTATTATTGTTCGAAAAAGTGTTTAATATTACACATGTATGTATATATTATTACTGTGTGCATATATTGATCGATTGATTTTTTGTTTAAAATGAACTCTGTGCAAGTACGTTAAAATTTCTTCTGTAGATATATTTGATAATGTTTTTGGCCTGTAAGCAGCTGACGAGAAAGCAACGAAATAAACAATGATGGTACCACTTTATTCTGCTAAAACTGTAGTTCTTGCTTTGTTCAAAATAATCACTTCATTCCAAACAATAACAATAATTATACAGAATGGAATTTTCAGCCTTTTTATACATACTGCAACAATTTAGCTCCTTTTATACATATATACATACATTGAATTTACAGTAATAATAATAATCTTTGCTTATACTTTGCAGTTCAGATTACTGTTTTAAAAAGTTTATAAGTTCTTTTCTGACATCTGATTCTCTCTTCACAAAAAAACCGTGCTAAGTATGGTGATATGATAGAATTTTTATATTTAGTGACCGTGTGGGCATAAATTCTCATGAAGTTTCTTCTGGTTTCACCCCCCCCCCGAAGAAATACAAGGAAAAAGTTGAGAATAAGTAGGGAGGATGTTCGGTTTCAGACAAGATAAATTTAGCAAAACTGTTTGAAAGAATTGAGGTGTCTATTGACAATTTTGTCAGTTCGCTGAATCAAAAGCACACCACTCAATCTGCCTAGAGCATTCAATGCTCTATGTAATGTGATACAGTCTTTTAGGAGGATTCCAGGAAAGAATAAGGGCGAACAATAGAGAAGATGAATGGACAGAATGCACGGATCAATAAATTGTAGGAGAAGAGGTTGAGTTGTGATACCAGAAAGTCTCAAGTTCTTTATGTAATAAGGCAAGCGTAAATTTTTCTTAGAAATCAACAACGTAGCATTATGATGGATTCAGTTTAAGACCATTTAGGTGAGACCTTTTGTTAACCTCAGATTAAAATCTATTCATATAAGAACAATCCACTTCAGAATCTATTGCGACAAAAAGGGTTAAATCGTTGGCATATTTATTGAAATTAGCTTTGAAAGAGCACTATAAGTCACGTAAAAAGAAGGAAGAAAGAAATGAAGAGAGTACAGTGCCTTGATGCAAAGCAGTTTCCGTTAGTAACACGCTTTCCATTCAAAATAGTATGTTTATTCCACCCAAAAAAATAAGAAGACAGATACATTGTGACACAAATCGCAGTACACGCTGGGATCAGCTTGCTGAGTAGAAGTGCACTAGAAATTAAGTCAAAAGCAACAGTGCAGTCTAAAAAGGAAACTCAAACAAACTGTGTGCCTTCAACAAGGCTCGAAACAATATTGTGGTGGATTACAACAGTAGTATCTAAATTGCCTCTAATACATGTGTAAGCAAACTGCTCTGGGTTATTAGAAAACTTTAAAGAAGGTTTAAACCTTCTCTGAACCTTCTACTGTCTTAAGAGCATTTGACAGAAGCTTCTATGTAGTTTTCACAAAAATACAGACGTGACGGTGACTGACCTAAACTTCAGACTTGATGCAGAAGATAATTTTGGTACAGGCACCACCCTTATTTCTTTCCCTGTTAAATGGTGCATTAAAGATTTGTGTGAAGGATGACACAAAATATCAGCACATTAGTGATGTAACGACAGAAGGTAAGCGTCAGGCAACAGATCGTTTATTGAGAAAATCAACAGATATTTAGAGATTTTTCTGCACATAATTATTCATTATTACTATTAGCAGAGAAACGGCGTCTTCTGATTGGTTGTTTTCTCCGTCTGAAGGTTATTCTGTCATCTCTTTGTTGCCGTTTCTTAGACAATCCGGTGATATATCTACGATTCGTATCCGCCCACACAAAATCTGCTGTGATTGGTTGTTGAGTTCCTCAAGGTTAGTCTTTGTTAGTGTTTTATCTCGTGACCCCGATATGGGACGTAAACATATTCGTAAATTGTTGTCTACAAATTTGGCTTCCAGACAGCTCTCGCCACAATGGTAATGATAGGTTTCAATATTTTTATCGCTGATTAATATGATTATTATTATTATTACAATCTTTTCTTAAAAACACAACAAATGAAAAAAAAAACTTTTCCATACACTGATAACTTACAGGATCATTACCAGTTGCAATTGCAATACTCAGTGCTGAGTGACCATTGCATAATAAGTTTGGATCAGCTCCATAGTTCAGAAGGCACTTTGCAATGATAGCTGAATTCTTACAGGAGATGAAAAAGAACAAAAACATGTAGGCACTTCATTCTCTTGAAATAAAATTTAAAAAACCATTAAACCAAATTAATCAAATCAAAATTTTAATTCAGATTATTTCAAGAAAAGACCGCGTAGTATGGAAAACTACTAGAAATTAAGCGAAATTGACAACACTTAGTTGAGTTCAGTTCATTTCTGTTAGCCAAAGACTTTCCGACATCGGTCGGGTCCAGCACTATTCAATTCTGAATTTCTCAACTAAGAAAGAATTCAGGGTAAAGATATGGAAATTCACCGGGAAAAGCTCAGTTTGTTTCCTAATGAAATGAAGTCCAAGGTATTATCATTTCTGAAGCTTACACAAACTTATTCCTCACAAAAATATATAAATACTAACACTCTAGTGAATTGATTGATTGATTGTTTGATTTATTGATTTTTTATGATGCACCAAAGATTAAAATATTATCATAGTAAGGATTAGAAGAAATTACATTCAGGTCAGTCAGCATTTACAAATATCTAATCCCAGGAATGAAGCTGAATTATAACTCTGAATTTGGCAATTTGAAAATGACTAATTTGTCAATCCCGAAGACTTTCGGGACTGCAGGTTAACATAGACAAGACGGAGGTTATGAAAATAACCAACCAACAACAACAACAGCAGCAACATCCACCACCGATCACCATCAACGGAAGGGATGTGAAAGAAGTTACTTCATTCACTTATCTAGGGAGCATTGTCTCAACTACAGGAGGAACGGACGAGGATGTCAAATCAAGCGACAATCGGGAAGGCGAGAAACACATTCATCAACCTGAAACCAATCTGGAAATCTTCCCCCGTCACTCAGCCTGCATCAACAACAAAGTGATTCGGATTTTCTGTACAAACGTCAAGTCAGTCAGTTTTTCTATACGGATCAGAAACTTGGCCAATGTGTCACAAAGAATATTTCCAACAGCCTGTTGCACACCTTTATCAACAACTGTCTTCGCTGGCTCTATATTGAAGATCAGATGGCCAGAAAGAATCACCAATAAGAAACTATGGGAACAAACAAAACAAGAACCAATCGCCCAACAAATATGCAGGAGAAAGTGGAGATGGATTGGACACTCACTGAGGAGGCCGTTGGGTGGCATCGAGCGTCAGGCCAGTGCTCGAGTGGAACCCGAAAGGGAAGCGGCGAGTGGGACGGCCAAGGGTGACATGGAGGAGATCGTGTGGAGAGTAGTTGAAACAGTATGGACTAACATGGATGCTGGTGAAATGTACAGCAGAAGACAGAAGCAAGTGGAGACGTGTAGTTGAAGCCCTATGTTCCACTAGGAACCCAAGGGAACAATAATAATAATAAATAATAATTTGTCAGTCAACAAGTCCTTAGTCATAAATTTTGATGGTCATACTGATACAAGTCAGTCGGGCATAAACTCACCCATTCAATGCAGATAATTTCTGATTCTGCTACCAACAAGGTGGAAACCTCCGACCCCCCCACCGCAAAATCCACTGAACATTCAGGGGGTTAAGAATTTCGTCTAGAATGTACAGAGTATTCGACTAGAAGCACCCATAAAATGTCAAGTGGTTTATTGGAATGTTTCAGAATCATTTATCCAGGAATTGACTGATAATCTGCATCATCACTGGGCTACCTAACACAATGCATCAGCAGTGGATAAAATGCACTCATGCACATTTTCAATTGGCTTTCAGATTACCGGTGAGCATTTCGCATTAATGAAGGAAAAATGATATAGTTTAGTTTGTAAAGGTTAGTTTTGTCTATTACGACTTCATCACGGATTGATATCAGTTAGAGAAGCATTGAAAACCAGGAGGTGCGTACTGCTGATAATTCCCAAAACTAGGGTGAAACAGCTGTCGAGTACTCCCTGTCCCTGGTGGTTTTCAGTGGTTCTCTAACTGATATCAATCCGTGGTCAACTCGTAAATAACAAAACTAACCCTTACAAACCAAACTATAGAAAATTAATCTGATGCTCGCTAGCGAGTGACTGGCTACAGGATGGAGTTTCCTGGAGTTCTAGTGAGAAGTCGTGACCAGTGAGGTCGATGCAGTCACGTGTGAGGATGTACGTCCCACTGATGACATTGGATGGGGTCGCGCTGAATCACGAATCTGTAGAAGTTGGAATTCATGAGCTGGCCATTGAATGGCGTCACAGTGGCTGAATAGTATACGAGCTAGCTTGCCTTGTAACCGGAAGGTCGTGAGTTCGAAGCCTGGTGGTGGGTGCGTAGTGGCGATGATTTACAAATTAGGATGAAACAGCAGCTGTCCAGTACTCCGTGTGGCTGCTTTTCAATGCTTCTTTAACTGATTTCAGTTCGTGATCAACTCGTAGAAATGATGTAAATATGCTACGTGATAAACTATACACTGCTATTGTACTTGAAGATCCTGAATGAGGAGAAAAAATTATGCAGTAAATTACGCTCAGCATTCTGTTCACTGTGTATACATTTGTTCAGAATAAAGTTTTTTATCATTATTATTATCATTATAATTATTAACAGTACTCCATCATGAAGGCGGCCTTCGACTCCATGGATCGAGAGGTACTATGGCGATGTTTGACTGTGAAGGGAGTGCCAAGAAAGTACACTGCACTAATCAAGGCACTCTACTCAAACTCACGTAGCTGTGTAAGGGCTTATGGGGAATTGTCATCTGAATTGATAACAACCAGTGGTGTCCGTCAAGGATGTCCACTTTCCCCTTTTCTGTTTAACTTCATCATAGATATGCTAATGAAAGTATCCTTAACTGAACTTAACGACTTAGGAATCGACTTGTTACCAGGGAATAGTCTTATAGACTTAGAATACGCAGATGACATAGTCCTGTTAGGGAAGGACGCTGACAAAATGCAGAGTCTTCTGAACACCCTGAGCAGCAATCTTCGTATGTTTTGCATGCGATTCGCCCCTGTGAAATGTAAGATGCTGCTACAGGACTGGACTACGTCAACTCCTAGCTTAGCGATAGGGAGTGAAGTGATAGAACATGTTGACCACTTCACCTATTTGGGAAGTTGTATCAGCACCAACGGATTGATTGGTGACGAAATCTCAGCACGGCTCCAAAAATCTCGGGCTGCTTTCACTAACTTACACCATCTCTGGCGTAGGTGTGACATCTGGCTGTCAACCAAGGGACGTGTGTTCTGCTCAGCAGTTTGCTCCGTCCTTCTCTATGGCGGTGAGACGTGGCCATTGAGAGCGGAAAACATGAAGAGATTGTCTGTTTTTGACCACAGATGTTCACGATCTCTTTCTCACATAAGGTGGAATAATAAGGTAAGTAATGTTGACGTTAGGCGTAGAGTGTTGGGCAAAGAGGGAAAATCAATCGAAGAGGCTATAAAGTTACACAGATTGAGATGACTAGGTCACGTGCTGTGCATGCCTAACCATCGCCTCCCCCGATGGGCATCACTAGCTGATATAGGTGCAGGTTGGTTGGAAAAGAGTAAGTGGTGGCCAAACAAAAACATGGCCTCATCAATCCATGAAATCCTTGACAGTTAAACTGAGTCAGGTAGGGAGATGCAGACTTCCGGGTTGGGGCCCGCCCTCGGGACTCTAAGAATCAATGGCTTGAGACAATAGGTGACATGGCTCAAAATCGTTGTCAATGGCTTACGCAGATGTATTCAGTCTCTGTAATCTTTCATATTCCTTTCTACCATTACCCAATCTGTTTCACTCTTATACCTGGCAAAACTCTATTGATTCTCTTCATTCATTTTCTTGTCTACCTTTGTGTGCTCTTTGGAACGTGGCAACTCGAACTGCTGCACTTCGGTGCCAAGTTCTACGTTGAATCCAGACAGACACAGGCAGACTCCATCATGTTAATGCATGTGTAAATCCTGGGCACTGTGGTAGGAAGTAATTCCATATTAGTTTGTTTATCAGATGTATCACACAGTGAAACAGTATTATTACAAACTGGATGACAAGGTTTCGAACACAATTTATTATTGTTCACAATCATATCATCAATTATAATCACACAACTTCGAAACTTGAGTTTTATAGTTGTTTTCTTTCCTTCTCTCCTATTTGTCGTCGTTGGGGTAGCAGAATTTTCCAGAAATCTGGGACAGGGACAGGTGTTGAATCATTCCTATCACACGTGTTGATTCGCAGTTGATTCGATAAACAAAGCTTCCGTTGTTATCAATGTCTCCCTCCACCCAGCTGTTACATTAGATTTTAAAACTGTCATCTCATCCAATCACCCTATTGTATGGTTGTGTGTAATTGCATGTAGTGCTATAGCTGAACTATTCTCTAGATTTCAACCATACAACAGGATGGATGGGATAAGATGACAGTTTCAAAATCTAATGTAACAGTTGGGTGGAGGGAGAGACTGATAACAATGGAAGCTTTGTTTATCGAATCAACTGCAAATCAACACGTGTAATAGGAATGATTCAACACCTGTCCCTGTCCCAGATATCTGGAAAATTCTACTACGCCGATGATGACAAATAGGACAGAAGGAAAAAAACCATAAAGCTCAAGTTTCGAAATCGTGTGACCATAATCGATGATATAATTATGAACAGTAATAGATTGTGTTCGAAACCTTGTCATCCAGTGAACAGTAATACTGTTTCACAGACTGTGTGATACATCCAATGAACAAACTAATATGGAAGTACTCCATCACGCATATAAACAGTAGCCATAAAATTTCATCTGGATAAATTATCAAAGAACTCAAAAATCGAGAAACACTTTCTGCTGCCATTGATATGTTCTTCAGTGAAGTGAGCGACATAAACGCGGGGGGGGCACATTCTGTGGCTGATAAGGTTAGTTGAAAACAACGCACACTGCAGTCAGTAACTTTTTAACTGAAACGATCTGTTTTCTCAAATAAACTATAATCCATGCACAAACGCACACACACACAGAAATACACACGCCACAGTCAAGGTGCTTCACACATTATTTCGGAGTATAAACTACTGTGGTGAGAGCTGTCTACTAGCCAAATTGGTAGACTGTAATTTACGTCAATGTTTACGTTATCAAGATCTGTAGTGAGAAAATATGAACAAAGACTGATTCAAAACCGACCACAGCAGACTTTGCGTAGGCGGATGCAGTTAACATATAGAGGATTTGACATTCAAGAAACAGTCACAAATAGATGAAAGATTAACTTTACGTGAGAAACAACCAATCGGAAGACTGTGTTTGTTTGCTTAAATATCCATAGTAATGTACATGAAAATATATAAATACGCGTTGATTTCCTTAATAAATGATCTGTTGCCTGACTCTTGCCTTCTGTCGTTACACTACGTTTAACTGACTAATAAACAATACCAATTAGTATGAATAATTTCCAGTGATTGCCATCACCACCACCACAAACTGTAAATCTCACTCAAAAAAAAACACTTTTTAAAGAAAAAAACAAATAGATAAACAAATATTTTACCAGTTGGTCATATTCTCGTGAACAAACTAAATGCAATGGTGTTCTGCCTTCATGGATTTTCTTCTCAATCGGTGTTGTCCTCTCTGAATTCATCCCCTTGAAATACATGAAACAAAAAAAATCAATAATAAAAAATAAAATGAACTAGAATCTCTGAGGATCTGGTTGATCTAACTGCTAAGCTTGAACTTTCTTATGTGATTTGCTTTTTACTAGGTAGTAAGTAAGTACACTTCGTCCATTTTGAGTGGACACTAGTAACTAGTGTGATGTGTTTCTAATCCTCTGTTTGGTGCAGACTGAATTCTAACAGTCAGTCAGGTTTGCAATGTGGCCACCATTTCACTAGGTAGCTGCTTGCCATCACGGTGCACATTGATTTAATGATATTAGATGGTTGGAGACAGTCAACAGGTAGAAGGGACATGAGTTGTTCCTTCAAGGTGATTGCAGATACGTCTTGCTGACTGACTGGTGCGAGTGCCAACTAGTAGGAAACCTAGGGGTCAAGCAAGGCTTCCTGTGACCGATTGCCTCCAACCATCTAATATCACCAAAACTTGGTCTATAGTAATGCTCTTGTGGAGCTGAGTACATCGGCCGTCCCATGCGCCGACTTGGAAAACGCGCTCGTGAACACTACCCAGCCTGGCTAGTAAAAGGAGACCGAAAACGTGTATACAGTTCAGTGACAGAACATCTAGTCAACTCAGGACATTCAGCGCCTTTCGAAAAATCCTTCAAAATAATATACAAAATTCAATCAAACCTATCAAAGGGAGTCAAATCAAGACATCTGGGAATAGCTGAGGCGCTAGCTATCCAAAAGCTCAAACCCACACTTTGTATCCAAAAGAATTACGTCCAACCCCTCTCCCTACAATGGCCATCATAAACAGGTAAAATTTTTTTAGTAATGACAATCTCATCGCCTTTCTTATCTAAACTTCCTGTTTATTCATGTTATTTTAAGTTTTCTTAATCCCTGTTTACACTACCATATTTCATACCCACTCTTCCTGTTTATTTTGTCATTTTACTATTTCTACATATTTAGTCCCTGATTGCATAAACAATTATTCATCACATTAGTTTTTTATCCAAACATCCTGTCTATTTTGTTATTTCTACATTTCTAACCCCCGATTGCACAATGTCAATCTTCTTAGTTATTATAATGCTACTTTGTTCGAGTTTTATCCGTCCCCCTGTTTATTATGGCATTCTAATTCTTAATTGTAATTTTTTATTAATTTGACCCTTAACCGGAAATTATTCTGGAACTTTCCCATCCATTTGATATAAATACACGAATGTACAGCCCCTAGATGATGACTTCGTCGAAAAGAAAATTTTCTTCGCTGCAATTGTCTTTTTAATAACTCTTATAGTAATGTGTTTGTTAATCACTGCATGATTCAATTGAGTACCAGGCTTCTAGGAATTCCTTAGCACTTTTGGTGTTTTCTTCATTAAAAAAAATGTCTAAATTTTCTTAATCAAACTGATGTCCATAATTCTCTACATTGATACAATAGAATACATATATATCATGCCTTTTTACAGTCAATTTGTGTTCTTGGATTCAGATTCGAAGGGGATGCCCACTTTGACTGATTTGATTTCTACTGAGACTTTTGTAAAAAAAGAAAACAACAACAACATAAATCTGGTGCTGAGGGAAGGTGGAACTACATCATGAACCGTCAGAGGTCAGGATTCGTGAAGTCAGACGCTTTACCTCAGTGACTGGACTCTCCTGTCATAAACTAAAGGTTCTCGGTTCAAACCCTGATCCAGTCAGTGATGAACATGTCTTGCTGAATAATCCGAAATATGAACAAAACAACTCTTTACTGCTTCCCAGTTTCCAGAGATTCTCTGGATTATGATATCGGTTTGTGATGAAATCTTTATCGAAGTGAATTAAAATCCATAAACATCCAAGTCGAAATACAACGCCATCGAATTTACCACACACACACACACACACACAAACAAACAGTCAGAAGCACAACATGAAATGTTTTATAACTCTACTAACCAAAATCAAATGAACTGAAAATGGTAGTGAAAATGCATATTATCATGTCTATTGTTTCTAGATAAGTGATCAGATTAACAAAGTTACAACAATCAATCAAAAATTAAATGCTTTTTCTGCATAACATGTATGCTGTGAATGTACTGAGTGGATACATTGTAAGACCAATTGTTTTCAAACTAAAGTAATACCATCAATCTGTCCAACTTACATGAAATTGAGCAAAGAAATGTTAAACTGAAAGTGTAATACGCAGACAGTATAGTACTTAGAAGTCCATTTTACCAAATGGAATCAAGTTATTTTATTTGATAATAAAACATAGTGATACAGTAATAGTTATTTACTGACGTTTCAACTAAAACTGGAAACTGAAAATGAATCCAAAATCCCTTTTCTTGAAGTTGAGCTTACAAGGAGAGATGACGGAACTTTAAGAAGGTCAATCCATAGGAAACCGACTTGGAACGGACAATTAACAAGTTTCTACAGCTGGGTACCAATCAGTCGGAAAAGAAACCTAATTAAATCCCTTGCCACTCGCGTCAGACGCATCTGCAGCTCCGACACCATGGAAGAACAACTAAACTTCCTGAGGGAAATCTTCTTAAAAAATGGCTACCCACCAAGATTTGTAGACAAAAACATCAAACAGAAAAACCAAAAGCAAGAGACGGCATCCGTGCCAAAAAAGATACTTTATATGAACCTAGACTTCAAAGGAGATCTACTTAGTGACGTCCTCAGAAAGAGAATTTCCACCTCTTTAGGAAGAACTTTCCCTGCGGCAACACTAAGAATAGTGTTCTCCAGTCGCCCGCTGATCTGCAGAAACCCAAAGGACAAGATTCTGCACATGACCACTTCTATGTGTATATATCAGTTCACCCATTGCTGTGGAGCCAGGTACATCGGTCGTTCAACGCGCATCCTGTCAAAAAAGGGTCAAAGAACACTACCCAGCGTGGCTACAGAAAGGAAATAATGGCTATATAAGGAGTGCAATAATCGAACATCTAGTCAACACTGGTCATCCCATCTCAACGAACGCCTCCTTCAAAGTGATCTACAAAGTGAATAACAACCTCCCAAAGACAGTACGATTTCGTCTTCTTTGCATCGCAGAAGCCCTAGCCATCCAGTTGGTGGAACCAGAACTATGCATACAAAAGAAAATTATCCAACCACTTCTACTCGCATGGTAACAACTCCGTTGATTTGACCCAACTCTTCTTTCTTTGTTTGATTTGACCTTACTTCTGTTTGTATGCTTATTTTTCTAACTGAAAACCCTTGTGTAATTCTGTATATTATTTTGTTTCCATGCGCACCCTTTGAGTACACTTCATTCATCAAACTATTCATGCCATTGCGTAACTCTTATTTAACAATCATTTATGACAACTCATCACTTTTGTTGCTATCCTGTTATCAACATCCAATTCATTTGAACTTACTAACCGTATTTTGTTTGACAAATTTAATGTATACACACACATACACACACAAAATAACCGTATATATTTGCGATTGTTCAGCTTTGAAAATGAATTCGCCGAAAAGAGACTCTTTGCTGAACTACTTAGTCTACTATTACTCATAATTAAACCGTAGTGGTCACATAACTCTCAGACCTTACTTACATATACTTCCACTATTTCCTATCCTAAATTTCTACTGGTAATAGTATTTTACAAGGCTTCCTACTATCTCTAATGATTTTCTTGATTGCTGTAGACTGGATAATGCGACAGACAGTGACACGAAGCTAGGAAACAGGCATAAAATGGACCCACACAAAAAACTTGGAGCATCTTGACTTTGCCCATGACATATACATATATGTCTGATTTCCTACGAAGTGGAAGATATGCAAGTGAAGAGCAACAAGTTAACAGAAGAAGCAATAAAGATACGACTTCACTTCAGGTGAACACAGATAAAACACAGGTGATGATGAAGATTGCTGGCAAAAAGCAACAGCAGCAACAAAATACAACAATCAGTCAGCATAAATGAGAGAAATCTGAAAGAAACAGCCTCCTTCACCTATCTACCTACCTATCTTGGAACCGTTGTTTCAACTACAGGTGGATGGAACTGATTAAGATTTCAAAGCGAGAATCATCGGGAAAGCAAGGCAAACTTTCAATACTCTTAAGATTCTGTGGAGATCAGCAGCACTCAGCATGAAAAATAAGATCCGGATTTTCAACTCCAATATGAAGTGCTACTTACTATATAGATCAGAGACTTAGCGAGTCATGAAGGGTACTTCAAAAAAGCTACAGACCTTCATCAACAGCTGTCTTCACTCAGTACTCAAGACCAGATGGCCGGCCAGAAACGTTCAGCAACAGGGAGGGATCTCTGGCAATGAGCGAACCAACCCAGCAGGAACCAATTGTGCAAAAAATATACAGGAAGAAATGGAGGTGGATTGTTTGGCCATACTCTCAGAAAACAAATCATTGAGTGACATCTCACGCCAGAACATCACTCGAGTGGAAACCGAATGGGAAGCAGCGAGTTGGCCGTCAGTGCGAGGGTGACATGGAGGAGGATGAGGTGATGTGAAGAGGAGAGGGAAGCATGTAGGCAAACGTGGAGCCAACTGAAAATGTTGGCAGAGAACTAAAAGGAATGAAGACGTACACTGAAGCCGAAAGTTCCCCTAGGAATTAAAGGGAGCAATAATAATAACAATAGTATTTTACAATTTTCTAGTATTGCTGCTGATATAAATCCAATGAAGAAGGAATCATTCGTCCGATTCTCCTTCCACTCATCTACATTATCTTTCAGAAGTGTAGCTCTCTCCCACCTCATTGTGTGGTTGTGTGCGACTGCTGACTTGTTCTCCAAGCAAGTCGTCTTTTTGTTAAGCCAATTATTCTACACTTAGCTAAGTTCCCGTGTTCGGATAACCTGGTTGATCCTAGTCCACTTAACTGACCTATGTAGTTGACTTTAAAGTCATTGAAATGTAAATTTCAAACTGGTTATTTTCTCTAATCGAAGCAAAACTATCCTGTAGCATATGGGAAGATTGTTGTCGTGAGGTAGATCAAAGGAAAGAATCAGAAATATAAAAATGGATCAAAGAGCACCACAATCGATCCTTGGATCTTTCTGACAATTTTGCAATTTTTATTCCTCCTTAATTCTGATTAACTTTTAGAGGTCAATGGTAACGTCAACCTGGCTAGTAGCTAGTAGCTAGTTTTCAATGAATGAACCTTTTACAGTTCATCTGGATCGAATTTCCATGCCAGTAGTATAATCGCAGACTTCCTACAAATGAATAACGCGTTAAACCATTTACATGTCTGGTCTCATAAAAACAGGTGAATCAGTGAACACTCATTCGAGAAAGTTTTACTTTCAGATTGATCGAAAACTTTGGAGAATACTGTAAAAAATGAGAGACAGGACTTTAGCAAACAGTTATCCCATACTTATTCATTTTGACAAATGCATAGATGTACACTTGATCCTTCAAGTATTGGTTGTGTAGAGATTTCTTTCCTGGTTGATTGGACGATTTCATCATGAGCTCACATCAGTTAGAGAATCATTTGAAAACTATCTGGAAATACTCGACAGTTCTTTCGTCCTAGTACTTAGGACTCTTTATCAGCACGCACCCACCACAGGAGGTTTGAACCCAGAACCTTCTGGTTACAAGGTTAGCGAGCTCGTAGACCATTCAGTAGCCACTGGGATCCGATTCAGTGGCCAGTCAGCCCATGAATTCTGACTTCTATCAGTTCACGACATAGCGCAACCACTTTGCAACGTCTCCTTCGATGAGTTACTGCCTCAGCTTCAACCTGCTGTATCTTACTGGTCACGGCTTCCCACTAGAACCACAGGTAACTAACTACCCACCTGAATAGAGCCAGTCGCTAGTGGGCATCAGATTAATTTCCAAGTGTTGGTTTTTGTAGGGACGTTTTTTTGATTGATTGTTCGGGGGATTTCATCTTCAGCTGACATGAGTTAGAGAACGAGTGGAAAACCAGCTGGTAATACTGGACAGCTGTTTCGTCCTGGTCATACTTTGATCTGTGCAGCAACGCAAAACATCACCTCAATATCAATTTAACCATTCAGTAAGCTAAATAATTATTATTAAAAAAATTAATTCAACTAATCAACCAGTCTTAAGCAACTTCAATTTGGATAAGACTCTATTGACGAAGAAAGCCTCGGAAAAAAAGGTAGAAAGTTTTAAATGAAATCTGTACTTCTTTGTATGGAATGAAAACATGAGGAAAAAACTTTTGAGTGAAAGATACTCACATCCAAAAAAGCACACCTTAGATATACGCATGTGCGCACAAAAACTATTGAAATTCTTAACAAAACGATATAAATAAGAATCATAGAAGTTATTATACATACACTTGAACTGCCTGATTGTATCCCAGCATTGTATTGATGCTTTAATTTAAAACTATCATCCAGTGTTGCCTGTTTATTTGGATCAGCTTTACCATCTTCAAGTAGAATTTCAGTTAGATGTACACCCATTTCGTCGGGCACAAGTACTGCATAGTGTAGAACAGTTAAACCATCTAAACTTGGCGTTAACGGAGCTTCATCTTCATCAATACAAATCCCCTGTGAAATAGGACTGTCTGATTTAAGAGGATTCTAGAAAAAATGGGAAAGCAAGCAAGTCAAACAGGGAATTAGTAAGCATAAATCTCACTTATTTGAAAGATTTATTACTATGATGTGTACTGACAACGTCCATTTCACGTTTGAAGGTGAACATTTTTGACAAGTGGATGATGTTGCTATGGAGAGTCCATTAGGACCTTTGTTAGTGGACGTTTACATCTCTTATGCTGAGGACTTGTCCCTTGATTTAATTTATCAAATGCCATTCTATAGGAGATATGTAGACGATATCATTTTGATATGTGACGATCATGAAGATGCAAGTCGTCTACTAGATAGACTTAACTCTGTACAGAATCATATTATTCTTACATGCGAGGAAGAAAGTCGCAACTAGCTTGAATGTTTAGACGTACTTCTGAGTCGAAGAGATGATAGTTCAATAAGACGATCAGATTACAGAAAGCCCACTTGGACAGGGCAATACCTTAATTTTCACAGCTTCTGTCCATTACAGTATAAGGGAGGCTTAGTGAAATGCTTATTTAAGAGGATTCAATGTATTTGCACGCCTGATTTTATAGACAAACAAAACGAAATATTGATGGATACTCTTGTTGAAAACGGATATCATTTAAAATTTTTAAACAGGTGTAGAAGTCAATTAGTCTCTAAACCTATAATCTATACCTCCCCTGAGAAAAATGTCTTCATCAAATTACCATACATCGGGGAAATAAACAGTAGGATTTTGAGGCAATGGTTGAATTCGGTCATCTGTAGGACCTATTATGCAGCCCGGCTTGGAATCATCGAAAAAGTCAAAAATATCCTTCACTGCAAACCTCAAAATTGCACAAGTGATTATATCACATCCCACACTATTTACCGATTCTCGTGTGTGTGTTTGTGTGTGTTTGTGGACACACATGCATAGGGAGGAGCAATCGTGTTTTGCATCTAAAGGTGAGAGAGCGAGCATATCACGAAACGCTTAGAAAAACAAATGAATTGTGGAAAACGAATAGACGCAGGTGGCAGAATACCAATTTCCTCTATAGTTAAACATCTAATCGATATGAACCACAAGAGTTATATAAACACAGCCTTTAAGGTCTTCTATAAAAGTGGCCAAGGGCGCTTACTGAAATAAGCTGAGGATATAGATATTCATAAACTTAAGTCCCTCCTCCCCCCGCTGTGTATTCAGGAACAATTAATTATTACTCTTAACCTACCTTGATAATCCTTATTCTAACTGATTAAAAATGCTCATTAAAATTTTCAAAAGAGTGGATACTGAACAAAGAGTATTCTTTTCGATAACCTCTTCTTCATCAGGCTCTACAGTTATATATATACATTATAGTGAATGAATGAATGAATTAGTGTTATGAACAACATTAATGCTGCTTAAATACCATCGAATCAATAGTATCAATAGATTACAGTTCAATTACATCAACATAACAATATACAGTGAATATAATACAAATTAGGAGAGATAATAATACAAATTCATGAATTTACGATCTCTACTGAAGGCCAGCCAGGGCAGTAATAGTGACTGGACTTGCTTCTTTTGTACACAAAGCACTGGTTGTTTCACGCAAATTGCGATAGCCTCTGCGGTCCCTCGATGTTTTGGCAATTTATTTGGTACCCAGTAGATGATAGAGAAGGAAGGATTCATCAATGCTGGCTGGCTTTGTGGCCAGTCGGTTTGGACCAGGTGGTCTAAT